AATAGAAGGAATAGCTTACAGTAAGCCTTGATGACAATAGTCCATAGTTAGGCAGCTGCAGGTGCGTGTAAAGTTTTCACTCTAATCGAATTCCAATTGGCAGCCAGCACAATTACGCTCTGCTGTCTCGGAATGTCTTTCACACCTGCGCAGGTGTACGATGAAAACTGCCAAATACTCAAATGCCCAAGCTTGTAAATATTGATTTTTTTGTCATATTTCTATACGAGTTCAACATTAAACGATTAGCTATAGTTGATACGAGCGCGAAACCTCTCAATCAACAGCCCACATAAACAATTATTTTCATGTACAGAGTGGCTGGAAGACAAGATATGCATTATTATTCTTAGTCTGGCGACCCACGCAACGCTCCTAAAACCTGAATGGAATGAAAGCCAAAAAAGACCGCGAACAATTGAATTTTTTCTCCTCGCCTTTTGTCTGTGCCACGTCTGATAATGGAGAATGTCATGTATATTTATTTATATATATATTTCTTTGATTGGCCTTCACATTGAAGTGCCAATAATAGTTATGAACTAAGATTTATAAGCATTATTTATATACTTGACTAATTTACGTTTGAACACTTTGTATCTTTTACAGTTAATGCTGCATGTACTTATGAGCAATCTACAAGATAACGCCTTCGACTGAGAGACTGAGTGAAGTAAGTATGGTTCGGGTACGGATAGGGGTACGGTAGGGGTACGGGTTCGACTTGTGGTAGCCCACGTTCGTATTCATTTTAGAGCACTCGTCTTGTAAATTTATGCAAATTGTTATTAAGTTTTGCTGAAAACAAACCCCTTTGCCTGACCCCAATCGCAGTTGGTAACTGGAACAGGCGCTCGCTGTGTGTGCAGGCGGCATAAATTGTATCCAACTGCAGTTGCATGTACATATAATAACATCATAGTGTAAGCCAACAACCGGAAATTGAAGCAAAAGATACTTTTATAGAGCACTCGGCACGCTGTGCAAATGATGTCAGCAGTTTTGCCAGGACCCACACACAGAGAGACAGAGAGTAAATGTGACAGGACTGCAGAGTCCTGAAAGGATGCTGCAAATTGAATGAGTTGAGCAACGCCGGCTCGTGATCTCATTTTGCGGACAGAGCAGCCCAGAGGCCCAATGCGAGAGCAAATTGTTTTTTGTAATTCGATTTTTCTGCCAATACACTCAGAATCAATTAAAATGCCATTTAAAAATATATGTGTGTGAGTGTATAAAAATAAAGCAGAGCTCACTCGTCCACAGATACTCTGTCTCTTTTGGTGTCTCATTCTATCTCGTTTTTATGCTCGGCCTGCCAAATGTTTGACCCAATTTTCCATCCGCCTAAGAATAGCGAATTTTCAAATACAACTTTTTTTGTGTGTTTAGCAATTCGCTTGAATTTTTAACAATTTATAAAAAAATATATTTGCAACTGAAAGTTAATTTTGCAACAAATTGCAAAAGCCATTTGAGGCAAAATAAAAGAAAATATATATATATATATATTTATTTGTATTTTTAATGTTCCTTAATTGTAGCTGATTTATTTGTTAATGTCTGTCGCTGTCAAATGAGATTCGTCAAGAAATTTATAACAATGGGCAAATATTTGGCTCGTACTCAAAATAGGCGCCAAGTTTCATGTAATCAAACTTTTGTGCATATTTAAATTTGTATTTTCTCTTCTTATATTTGCCTGTCATCAACGTGACAAGCCGCGTCTCGTCAAAAGTTGTTTTTCTTTTCCTTGTTTCTCTATCATGAACACCCCGCATGTAAGTGTACAAAAATATGCATATTTATACATAGTATATGTAAATGTATATATACAAATTTATATACTAATGCCCAAGCCCTCGGCCGGTCGGTCGGTCATCGGCTGCGTATCCGCATTGTTGTTCGCATCTGATCAGGTTTTTGTTTTGTTCTCTTTATTTTGTGGCTCTTATTTTCGTCATAAATCAATTTGTTGCAATTCGAATATATTTGCGACGCGCTTGCCGCCCAATTGGCGCAATTGGCTGCCAAAATTAGAAGGAGAAACATTTGGCGCAAACAAATGCGAGCCAACATGCGAACAAATCAATCAAGCGTTCTGCATCTCTCTTTCTCTCTCTCTCCCCCCTTGCGCTCAGCAGGAGCTCCAACTATTTATAGAAGTGCGAATAACATTGTAAAAAACTACGGAATGATATGGAAAGCATGTTGCCACAATTTTTGTTGGCTACAGAACTTATGCACTACAAGTGGAATTATGTTAGATGAGAGAGAGAGTATTTACAATACTTCAAAATATATATGTTTTGCTGTCGGCAGAACAAATTTTCTGATGAATTCTATGAGAATATTTGCTTTCTTTATACAAACTTAACTGATCTCTAGGTTTTACTTACTTGGAGCTACGATATGTATAAATGGTATAAGGGCTTTGTAAGTCATGCTACTCATGTTTATTTAGTTTATTCTTTCATTGAATTTGTTTCTCAAGTCCAATAATTGGGTTTCATACAGATGAATAATATGTGTATATAATGCAACATCAAGTTTAGCTTATATTTAATTTGTAATCTAATAAACCCAATTCATATTTGCTAATGCCTTACTGGTAGAGCAACTTTTCCAAAGCCAATTAATCAAAAGTTTCGTTACTATTAATAATCATTCATGTTTTAACTTCATATGTAGCTAAAATTGTTATATTATATATTATATTGATTTTTGGGGAAAGTTCTCAAATTTGATTTTCTACTAATTTCAATTTGAATTATTTTCATTCAGGTGCCTCTTCTTCCCCTTGCTTATCTACTGTGTTTGATTTTTTCACGTACTTCACACAGTTATTTGTATGGATTTATTCTTGTCTTATGAACGTAACAAAATGTGAAATATGTTTGTTAATAACGTGACTCACATGTGTAAATGCAGTCCATTTAGGGTTTTCTGGACAATGTTAGAAAGTGTTGAGAGTTGTTTGTATATATTGTTGTTCCGTCACTTTCTTATCGACGTGTTGTGCGCTCTGCGTTCATAAATCAACTTATCTCTAGGTGCAGTGCGATTGTGTTGATTATGTGTATGTGTGTGTGTGCATGGGTGTTGATTATGAAAACATTTGTATTACTCGTTGTTTTTTGTTCCAAAGATACAATATCTACGAACCTATAATTAGAGTTCACTTTTATGTCACCTTATATGTCATTTCAATTACCTTGTTGTTGGATGGATTCCCACAGCTTTTGTTTACCTACTCAGGAAGTGTTTGTATTGTAGATTCATTGTGCGAATATAGAGATATATTCTGTATCGATGCGAATATAATTTTATTTAAATTTCCATCGGCCACTGATATGTTTCATTTGTGAGCGGGCGGGTATTGAATGCGCAACGAAACGAGAAAATTTGTGAAATAAAAAAATACATAGTGAAAACGAAATTGTGAAAAGCTTAAGGAAAACCAGAAAAGAGATTTGACAAACGTCTAAAAAATAATAAAAATAAAAGGAAAATACGAAATTTGCGCAGGTAATCAGAGAATTTGAAAAATTGACAAAAATTTATAACAGCAACAAAAACAAACTTGTTTATAAACAATTTGAAAAATTAATGTTGCGCGAAAAATGTTGTATTTTTTAATAATTATGAAATTTGCTGGCAATTAGCCAATTCGAATTCTCTGTCGCTCTCTCTCTCTCTTCTTCTTCTCCCTTTCTGTATCTCTAGTGAAATGGCTCGTATCATTTATAAAACCTTGATCTTGTCCGACAGCCATGTGCAATACTTCATTTATAATTATTTTTTGTGAATTCTGATATAAATATACAACCCCTAAAGGAAATTGCAATTGGTATGGACTCTATGAGTCATCATCATACGGCCTTATGCAAATAACTAGACGAGCATCCCTCGTGCTTATTTTTGGCCTTAGAGACCGCCACGTGTTTTGGCAATTCCTCATACTTCCTGCCTCAACAAACAAAACATTACGCCGGGTTAACGCGATGAGCAAAATCGATAAGCATTTAGCTTTACCGTTACTTTCGACTTTAATTTCCATGTTGAGCTTTTCCACCCAGTTTCAGTTTCTGCCCGCCAGTGACATAATATGCTCAGTGCCCAATGTGTCACACGCCAACTCAACAAACTGTGGAAGAGGAAGAGAAAGTGTGAGAGAGTGAGAGAGAGCGAGATAGTAAACAGACTGAGGCAAAAAGGGACAGTAAACGACTGAGCGTCGCCAGGCCCAAACCCCCAGTAGGTCGTTTTATATGCATAAAAATGTCCGTCAAGTGGGTATATAAAGCATAGAGTCATGTCCTAGTAGTCGAACGAAGAAAATCATTAAAGTTGTTTATTGAGCATTAGAAATATTTTTGATTATCAAAAAATATATATAAAGTATTTCTTAAAAGTAGTAAATCAGCCAGATGGTATATATATACATGTTTCTATATATTTATTTTGTAGTTGCCTTGAAATTAAGAAGATTCTAGCCTTGTGTCACAAGGGTATATTGTCGTCGATCACATAGTTCAAACGTTCATTACTTGTTTTTCCTTGACAAGCTTTTCCATGGACACTTGACTCCGAGCACGGTGCGTGCGCTTTTTATGGCTTTCATGGCGCCAATTGAATTTATTTATTTTCTCTTCACCAAAGAGCAACTTAAATGGACGATGAGCAGGATATTGGAAATTATACAGCATATATAGTTGGAACAACAATTTGTTCCAGTTAGGGTTAATCGTATTGTGTGGCTACCAGATAAAAAGATTAAACAAAAAAAAAAAAAAACAAGATTGAAAAGTCTTTTCTTTTGCAAGCCGAGTAAATAGAATAGAAGTAGAAGTACAGAATAGATGAAAAATGCTTTGTATGGGAATTGGAGGAGAGGAATTCCTGTTTCTTTTCCTTTTCCTGTTCATCTTTGTTTTTGCTGTTGAAATACTATTGTGCTTTGGTGGAGCTGACAAGGATTGTGTTTAGTTTTTGCCTGAGTTGTCAAATATTTCTGTTGATTATATTAGACACATTTTAATAGTTCAGATTGTTATACACCTTACAACTAGCGAGAGCATACAAATAATTTTATAAAAATATTTCGATTTCCTTTTGATCGCTAGCCAAAGCATCGTAAAGCGTAAATTTCTTGTACATATTTAGAAGTTAATCACAAAAAAAAACCCAATCACACTTATTCGCTATGAATCCATCAAACTTGGGCAAACAGAATGGGGCTTTAGTATTAGAGGTACTACAGGTGCTTGGTCGCCCGGCCACCATTGAGGAGGTGTCTCAGCGTGTGGCCAATATATATAAAGTGGCCCGTAAACGCATTCAGCCCGTTGTTGGAGATATTCTGACGGCTGGTGTGCATCAAGGCTTCTTTAGTTGCCGCAATTACGAATATTCTATCATTCAGCCAACCATTGATCAACTGCGCCAAGATATTGACAAGTATGTGGATGAAATGTTATCGCTGGACTGCACAGATGAGAAATTGTTGCCGCAGCCATCACCGTTGATGATCAAGCTGGAGCAATTGGACGGCTCACCGCCATTAACGCCGTCGTTCGTTCTGTCGCCTTCGCCATCAAGCGGGGAGCTGCGCGAACGAACGCCACCCGGAGATGCATCGTCGGCGGTTGCTACGTATTGATTGATCCCATGATTGACACTGCTGCCCTTTTGACTAGTTTTTTCTATGTATTATTCAAGATATATCTGTTTTTAAGTGTAAATTTGACAGCACATCGGGAAAGCTACACAACAAGTGCAGTGGAGTTCAGCTCAGTGCAATAAACCTGCGTCCAGGGCAGTCCAGTATACGCAGTTAACAATGCGTTTATTTTTCCGGCTCATTCGATACGTGAAATGAGGACGGCAGCTAGGGAGCTGGTGGTGCCTGGCGGCAGTTGTGAGCGGCGGCTCTTCCAGCTGCTGCAGCTCCTTTGTTCGTTTTGTTGTTGTTGTTTTGGTGTTGCTGTTGTTGGTTTTAATAGCTTGTGGGATTCCGACGTTCTCTAGATTCCACATTCCTGGCAAACAAAGGCCATGGTTTGCCCTGTCCCGTGGCTTACTTTTCATTTTTTATTTGCAAACTTTCAACGCTTTGAAGTTCATTTTCATAAGTTGCCAGCCATACATATATATATATGGTTGTATATATATGAATATGTGGGAATGCTTTGTCGGAGTACTCGGCACTCGGTTCGTTCCTTGGACCCATTGTCAGGTTGTTGCCTGTCTAGCGCCCACGCTCGGGTTCAAGTCTGTGTGCCACAAAAAAGTTTAGCTCTTCAGTGGCTCATTTCTCCATTGGGTTTTGCGTTTTGCGTTTTGTCTGCTCTCGCTGTCAATGCTGCCCGTTAGGGCAACGCAAATTTTCCTTTCACTCCTTTGTTGTCCCGATCCACAATCTACACACACACACACAAAGCTGAGCAGCTGTCCCGCCCCGTCCGCCTCTTGTCATTTAGATGAGTAATCGTCGCCTGACTGCCCGCTTTATGCTCTTCTTTAATTTTGATTTATTTTTGCTTTCAATTTAATTAATTGAAGCACGCGGCTACAACAATCTCTTCCTTGTTGTCAACGACAACGGCTCAGTGGGATTAGTCAGTCTCTAGGAAATCTTAAGATTGCGCAAAACAATTCCTTAACTCTCTGTGGCAGAGTTTTTAATACTTTTGGCAACCCCTTGGATTATTCTTTTCCTAAATAATTCACATAATGCTCATAATTTGCAATCTACATGCCATTTTATATAACTAAAAGTTTGATAAAGAGCTTGTGCGCTTAACCAGAGAATATAATGCTCGACTAGAAGATACCCCGTGCTAAGACTCAAATTAACTCAGTCGGAGAATCTTGGAAGTATAATATGAAGACTCTTAGATAAGGTGACATGGATATTGCTATTGATATTGATTTTTTTGTAAATAATTTTTGTATCCTGCTCTTAAGTTTATGAATATATATGTAAAGTAGTAAGCCTTGAAAAGCAGTTGCAAAATAATCCCATAAATATAACTTTCAATAAGGTATAGCTAAATATAAGAGAGCAAACTATATAAGGCTTAATGCGAGTAGCTCTGTTAATCAAGACAATAAATCGGACAGATATATATATACATGTATATATAGAAAAGCGGTATATAGGAAGTGAATCAGACGCACTCTCACTCTCTGTCCGAGCTCAACCTGATGAACTGGCGCGAAAAGCTTTTCTTGGTTCGTTGACATTAGCTCATGAGCAGAGGAGACGTTCGTAAACATGATTTTAATGTTTGTTGTTTTTTTTTTTTTTTTTTTTTTCTTTCTTTCTTTTTGTCATTAATTAATTAAATTGTGACTGCGCGATGGGGGAAAATATAATAAAATACGTAAAGACAAAGAGCTGGGGTGGAGCCGACCCAAGTTAGAACGTTAAATCAACTGCTGAGTGTATAAAGATATTAAATTAAGTAGCTTAATTCGGTTAAATTATCTACTAATTATTCGAGACAAATTTGCGTCTCATCAGATATTTCATTCAGCATAAAATGTCACTCAATTTTGGTCTAATAAAAGTGTATATTTCTTCTAATTACAGCATGAGCCGCCAGCATCAGCGGCACCACCAGCAGCAGCTGCAGCAGCAGCAGCAACAACAGCAACAGCTGCTGACAGCACAACAGCAGCAACAGCAGGCGCTGTTGATGGCCGAGCATGCCGCTGCCGCGGAAGCCGCCGAGCTCTTCGATCTGCTCTGTGTGGCAACAACAATGCGTCAGATATTGGCTCTGCATCGGGCCATGTGTGAGGCAGTGGGGTTGCGCTCAGCGCCGCTGAACGACTTCTACCCGAAGCTCAAGGCCAAGGTGCGATCGTGGAAGGCGCAGGCGCTGTGGAAGAAGTTCGACGCACGCGCCGCACATCGTGTCTACGGCAAGGGCAACGCGTGCAGCGGCACCCGTGTTCTGGTTATTGGCGCCGGTCCCTGCGGCCTGCGCACGGCGATCGAGGCACAGCTGCTGGGTGCCAAGGTGGTGGTGCTGGAGAAGCGTGATCGGATCACGCGCAACAATGTGCTGCATCTGTGGCCGTTTGTCATCACGGATCTAAGGAATCTGGGAGCCAAGAAGTTCTATGGCAAGTTCTGTGCGGGCTCGATTGATCACATTTCCATCAGACAGCTACAGTGCATGCTCCTTAAAGTGGCTCTGCTTCTGGGAGTCGAGATACATGAGGGCGTCAGCTTCGAGCATGCCCTAGAGCCGACGGGCGACGGCACCGGCTGGCATGCGGCGGTCACACCCGCGGATCATGCTGTCTCAAATTACGAGTTCGACGTTCTCATCGGCGCCGATGGCAAGCGCAACATGCTGGACTTCAGGCGCAAAGAGTTTCGCGGCAAGCTGGCCATCGCCATAACGGCCAATTTCATCAACAAGAAGACCGAGGCCGAGGCCAAGGTGGAGGAGATAAGCGGCGTGGCGTTTATATTCAATCAGGCCTTCTTCAAAGAGCTCTACAGTCGTACGGGCATTGATCTCGAGAACATTGTCTACTACAAGGATGAGACGCACTATTTCGTGATGACTGCGAAGAAGCATAGTCTGATCGACAAGGGCGTCATCATTGAGGACATGGCCGATCCCGCCGAGCTGCTAGCATCCGCCAACGTAGACACACAGAAGCTGCACGACTATGCACGCGAGGCCGCTGAGTTCTCCACGCAATATCAGATGCCCAATCTGGAGTTTGCCGTCAATCATTATGGCAAGCCGGATGTGGCCATGTTTGATTTTACCTCCATGTTCGCTGCCGAGATGTCCTGTCGCGTTGTGGTGCGCAAGGGCTTCCGGCTGCTGCAGTGCCTTGTGGGCGACAGTCTGCTGGAGCCGTTCTGGCCCACGGGATCGGGGTGCGCCCGTGGATTTCTCTCCAGCATGGATGCTGCTTACGCCATCAAGCTGTGGTCCAATCCACAGAACAGTACTTTGGGCGTTCTAGCGCAACGTGAGAGTATCTACCGCCTGCTCAACCAGACCACGCCGGACACTCTGCAACGTGATATCAGCGCCTATACTGTGGATCCGGCTACACGATATCCGAACTTGAATCGCGAGTCGGTCAACAGCTGGCAAGTGAAGCATCTGGTTGACACCGATGATCCGTCAATACTGGAGCAGACATTTATGGATCCGCACGCGCTGCAGTTGCCCCATGTGGAGACGCCGGGCAAACGCAAACGACGCAGTGGAGGTCAGTTGTAATATGAACTAATATCTATGTATGCAAATGTTAACCATCTGATCTTGCACAGATGTCCTGCCGCAAGGTGCCATTTTGTTGCGCTGGATCAGCACACAGCTGTGTGCCTTTCCATTTGCCTCCGATCTCAAGGAACCCTCGGATGTCTTTCGCAATGGTCGTGTGCTGGTCGCCCTCATCAGCCGGTGAGTGGATTCATGCAATACTCAAACCTTATTTATTTATGCTGTCTATTTCTGCTTAGCTATCGACCTGATCTTATTGATTATGCTGCTACCAAGGATATGAGTCCGCTGGAGTGCAATGAGCTGGCCTTTGCCGTGCTGGAGCGCGAGCTGCACATCGATCGCGTCATGAGCGCCAAACAGTCTCTGGAGCTGAGCGATGTTGAGTCGCGTATCTGGCTAAATTATCTGGACCAAATTTGTGATCTATTCCGCGGCGAGATACCCCACATCAAGCATCCCAAAATGGATTTCAGCGATCTGCGGCAAAAGTATCGCATCAATCATACGCATGCCCCGCCAGATTTCTCCAAGCTGCTGCAGACGAAGGCCAAGGCCAAGTCGCCCATGCAGGATGCCGTCGATGTGCCGACAACAGTGCAGCGGCGATCTGTCCTGGAGGAGGAGCGGGCCAAGCGGCAGCGTCGCCACGAGCAGCTGTTGAACAGCGGCGGTGTGGCCGCCGGCTCAGCTGCAGCCAGCAGCGCGGGCAGCAATAATTTGCAACAGGGTGTGTTAAAGATAACCATAATACATAAACGATCCAAATCCAGAGCAACGCATGTGCCAAAGCTACCAATCTAAATTGTATAGCCCAAATAAATATCAAGTTTTTTACTCTGAATGTATATGAATCAGAGATAAAAAAAAGCTTTGTATAATTGTCAATGTAGAACCTCCATATTAAAAATGTAACTTTGTCCATTTAGAAATCCCATAATCGGGAACATAAGAATTTAGAGAGATAGACGATTTACACAGTTTCACTATGTCTTTTGCGATATATAATGTAATAACTATTAAAGCTAAAATAATTCACTTATGTCTCTGATGTAGTCCAAAGTTGAGTCCATTGTTTATTGCTCAAAAATTGAAATTGTAGGAAATAACATAATTATGAAAAGTTAAGCCCGTTGTTTCTGGTATATATTAGAGAGACATTCCCATTTACATCCAGTTCACTCTCAAGTTTTCTCTTTAATATTTCGATTGTAACTTTTTGCATCTCTCTTCTTATTTGCAGCTCAAAGTGATACACCGCGTCGCTCGAAGAAACGTCGCCAGGCTGATAAAACGGCGAACATTGTGAGTAGATGTTTCGACTATATCATGGATTGGTTCACTGGCGCAATAAATGTTGCTTGAAAAGTGATGCCATTTCAAAATTTCTCTTATATAATACATATATATATGCATATAAATATATATATATATATATAGCTAAATTCATTCAATTGGCTAATTATGCGCATATGTTTAGGAAAGGCCATCACTTTTCAACTGTGTCAACAAACTTCTCTTTCTCTCTCTCTCTTTCATACAATTCTCCTTAAAATTTACGCTCATATA